TTTTCTCATTGAATTTCTCAAAACAAACCATCCATTTTGTTAGAAAATTTTTGAGCACAAAATAACACAACTGAACATTGCAGGGGCTATGATAGGGGCATGGCTAATGATCAAAATTGCTACAATGAAACGGAGCCAATTTCTGAGGATGGGTATTGGGGAAGTCAATCAGATTGCAGAATGATGCAAATAGCAGAGGCAACGATAGACAAACTGAGAGCAAGAGGTTTAACGGTACAGATCCTTAATATTACACAACTCTCAGACTACCGAAAAGAAGCTCATCCTTCTATTTATAGGAGGCAGTGGGCTCCTCTAACTGAAGAGCAATTATCAAACACTCGGAGCTATGCAGATTGTGTACGTTGGTGCCTTCCAGGAGTGCCTGATGTTTGGAACGAGCTCCTTTATGCCTACTTATTTAATTATTGATGGGCTTATCTTCAACTCAAGTTAGTTGTCCATTGTCAGAGATTTAAATGCTCACCATAAACAGAACATGTTGAAAATCAAGTTGTGGTGGCCATTGCTATGAATTTTCTGCAGAGTGTAACTACAAATGTATACTGTTGGGGAAGGATTCAAGGATTGTAACCGATGCCATGGGAAAAAACTAAGGTCCACCTTTTTGTGCTCAAAGGCTTCGAATCTTGTAAGAAAAACACTACTTGTTTAGAGCAACTACGTTATAAAATCTCTTATTTGATACGACTTAGGCTATATGGGGTCCAACTGACTTTACACAACAAAATCCTCGTCGATGCTAAAAGGTCAAGAAGCAACGTTGCTATGAGATGGCTCTAGAGACTTGGTTGGGTTGGTTGGACACCCATGTCAATCGTATTGAAGTCCAATTGTTTTCGGTTAGCATGCATCCACTCGTCGGGATGAAAATTGCATATGTTAGATGGCTCTAGAGACTTGATTGGTTTGGTTGGACATTCATGTCAATCGTACCAAAATTCAATTGTTTTTTCGTTAGGATGTCAGCCATAGTTCTAAATACGGAAACCGGCATCGTAATAACATTAAAATGAACACAAATTGGGTATAAAAAGAGTTACGCAATAAGAATAGAAACATGAGACATGCATTTTCTTTTTCTATTCTCAGCTCACCTAATTTGTAACAATATTCATGTTTTTAACTTTAAAATCATACAATTATGAGTCATTTAATTTTAATACTTTTAAATGTCTGACCAAAAAAATGCTTTTTTTAATGATTTCTATTAGGAATTTCAACTAATTGTTGTCCATTCCTCACAGATGCCAAAATTTCACTATCCTCACGTGCCCATTCTTCATATTTTTCAATGATCCTCACTGCCTATCCTTCGTCTTCTCCGACGAGCCCACCTTCAAATAAATATTTAATGTAATTATTACATCACATCAATATTGTTACATAATGTAATCATTTAATATTAAATAAACAAGTGAATAAGGTGATGCCAATTTTTTTTAGGGGTGGTTACTATCTTATATGAAAGGGTAGTTATATGAATGAGTGGATCCAAATTTTTTATCTAGTGAGTTATTATTGGACGNCTCAGTATTGTTACATAATGTAATCATTTAATATTAAATAAACAAGTGAATAAGGTGATGTCAATTTTTTTTAGGGGTGGTTACTATCTTATATGAAATGGTAGTTATATGAATGAGTGGATCCAAATTTTTTATCTAGTGAGTTATTATTGGACGGTTACATCGCGTGAATGAGTGGATCCAAATATTTACTCCTCCAAGGGAGCCCTATAAAAAAATATAGATACGTCGTTACACCCAATTTTTAAAATTATCATATATTTAGGCACGTAATTTATATCTATACAAATAAACTCGTGGTTGAATTAGAGGTGCCTTGAATGATTCCATCGAGTTGTGTAAGAATTGTTGTGTACATTCACATGAAACGTGAAAATAACATAATGAAAGATGCCAATTGAAGCCGTTTCGGGTTATTTTTTAAACTATATGCAGGGTGTGTAGCCTACTGTCATCCCAANCAATAACATAATGAAAGATGCCAATTGAACCCGTTTCGGGTTATTTTTTAAACTATATGCAGGGTGTGTAGCCTACTGTCATCCCAATGCCATAACAATCATCCATCTTAAATTGCAGCCCACGATTATCATCTCTTTTTATTTTTTGGACTAATACTCTAAAAGATATTTTGATTTTTAATTTGTACTTTTAAACATTAAAAATCTCAATTTGCACCCACAATATTATGAATTAGTAAAAATGCAAACATCACATAAACTATTATTCAATTTTTCGCTATAAATTTTAACACGTGAGGTGTAAGTGTTCTAGACATAAGGTTGAGGTACATCCATCACTACAGATCCTCGCCTTCGATCAATTTGCTACCATTTTGTGTATTGAAAATAGGGTCTCCTTAATCAGCTATAAGTTAATCCTATCATTTACAACTCATATAAAACGCCAACAGTCTGTAAATTTATATATAAGTTCATGTCTGAAGTATTTGCAACTCACGTCCTTCAATTTATAACAGAAAAATGAATGATAGTCGGGCCAGTTTCACATTGCTACCAATACATAATATTGGGGGTGAAAATTGAGAAATGACATTAGCCCTTTTTTTTTTGGTATCCTATTCCTTTCGCTGATATTGGATAGAGACATTCGAACTGACTCAAGGGAAGATCAACTAGACATTGGCTTGCTCATAATTGATAGTTATTTTAGAACGCATAAATCAACCTTCCATAGGTTCAATTTCATTGTTTCTCATTGCTCAAAAGATACAGACATGAGTTAAAACACCCGATAGGCTGAAGGTGATCATGGCAAGCACACATAAAGTTGGTATTGGACCATGGGGATTCAGATGCAACTTTTACTCTCTGATAGGCCTCCTTGTCACGACCTTACTCATCGCTGTCATTTATCTAAACATAGATAGTAGATGGTTGTTTGAAAATCATACAATCTATGAGAATTCATCTCCAAACTGCGATTTGTTTTCAGGCAAATGGGTCTATGATAACAAGTCTTACCCTTTGTACAAAGAGCAACAATGTTCTAATTTCATGATTGATGAGTTTGCTTGCGAGACGTTTGGGAGGAAAGATTTCAAATATCAGCACTGGAGATGACAACCTCATGATTGTGATCTTCTAAGAGTCTAGCCTTTATGACTTTTATGTCTTCTTTGACATTATGAATTTCTTTATTTAAGTCTTGAACCATAGTAGGCAAAACTTCCTTTATTTGGAATGGATTTTCAATCATGTCACTTTTGGTTCTATTAATGACTTCTTTACTTGATACACTAATGCTATGGAGTTGAATTCTCTCGAATTTCAATTTTGTCAACTTCAGTCAAGTTCAATGATTCACCATCAAATTTGGTGGGGCCTTTCTTGTATCAATATCATCTGTAAGAACTCTTTAGTACCTTGAGCTTCCCCTCCAATGGCTACCTGTTATGTATGCAATGAAGGAATACAATGCCACCATTGATTTCTATTGGTCTCCATTGCTAGTGGAATCTAACTGTGATGATCTGTTAAACCATCGTGTACTAGACCGAATTATTAGAATCCAGGCAATCGAGAAGCACGCCANGTTATGTATGCAATGAAGGAATACAATGCCACCATTGATTTCTATTGGTCTCCATTGCTAGTGGAATCTAACTGTGATGATCTGGTAAACCATCGTGTACTAGACCGAATTATTAGAATCCAGGCAATCGAGAAGCACGCCAAGCACTGGACTGATGCAGATATACTCGTCTTTGATTCCTTCAGGTGGTGGCTGGGGAACATGACACTTCTGTAAGTTCATCCTAAGTCAAAAAACGTTTTCTTTGCATCGGTGATAAGTGATAATGCAGTTAGGATAGGATTACACTTATTAACAGTTATCTTATATTTAAATTCATGTAGTTATCTTGTNGTTTTCTTTGCATCGGTGATAAGTGATAATGCAGTTAGGATAGGATTACACTTATTAACAATTATCTTATATTTAAATTCATGTAGTTATCTTGTATAGGATTCTTATCTACTCACAAATACAATATAAATAAAANTTCATGTAGTTATCTTGTATAGGTTTCTTATCTACTCACAAATACAATATAAATAAAACTCTTCCAACTCACTTATAGGTGAGTCATGCTAAACAACCAATCCTCTTTTCGTTCATGGTATCAGAGCCTTGAACCATAAGATTTCTGCAACCTTTTCCTGACACTATCATGGCCTCCTCATTGCCCACTACTTTTCCCCTTACCAACATCACTAACTTTGTCTCTGTGAAACTTGATGGCAACAACTATTTACTGTGGCGTGATCAACTCGAATCCATTCTTATAAGTACAGATTTACTTGGACTTGTCGATGGCTCGATTCTTCCACCATCCTCCACCGGGCAACCAACACCCAACCCAGAGTACACTATCTGACGAAAATCTGATCAGTTTGTGAAGGCTTGTCTCAATGCTACCTTGACTGAATCCTTGAGTTCTCAAATACTTGGCCTCACAACCGCAAAGGACGCTTGGGATGCTCTTGCTGCACTATATCAACAACAATGCACTGCCCGCAAATCATATCTTGTAAAAGATCTTCAGGGCATCTCCAAGGGCAGTGACACCATTACCGACTATTTCCATCGCATCAAATCGCTAGCCGACTCTCTCGCAGCAATTAACGAACCCGTTAAGGACTCCGATCTTGTTCACTACACTCTCAATGGTTTGAGTGCAGACTATGGCCCTTTTATCACCACAATTGAACACCGCCAACCTCCCATTACTTTTTATGAATTACGGTCCAGTCTACTGATACACGAGCAACATCTTGCTCGCGACTATGGTACATCTACATCATCTGTTATTGATCCTCACACAGCACTTCATGCCTCTGTGCCCCCACCCCTTCCTGGACCTCCACGCTTTACTCCTAAACAGGGCAGGAACCACACCCGTTTCGGTTCCTCTTTTTCACGGTACCCACGCCAAGATCAGTCATTGCCTGTTTTCCACAGTTCCCCCAATGATCAGTCCCCACGTTCTGTGACCCCCTCTTCTTTTGGCTACACCTCAAATGACTTTCAAAGTCGTCCACTCATCAAATGTCAAATCTGCTCCAAATCTGGTCATGCACTAGTCGCAATAGCAATGTTCAGCATCTTCAACATGCCTTCTCTAGTCTCCACCTCCAGTCGCCACCCACGGATCCTCGGCCGACTATTGATCATCATTGGATTCCTGATTCCGGTGCCACATCACATATGACTTTTGATCCTGCCATACTCCACCAATCTTCCAGCTATTCTAGTTCTGATCAAGTCTACGTGGGCGATGGTAAGGCTTTATCTATTTCTCACATAGGTTCCACTAAACTTTCCACACCATTGCAGCAGTTGCAACTTTCTGACACTTTGGTTGTCCCTCAACTAACTCAACATCTTTTATCTATCTCTCAACTCACTCGAGAAAATAATTGTTCTGTTGAATTCTTTCCATGGGGTTTATGTGTTAAGGATCTTTGCACCGGGATGACACTCCTGAAAGGACCTCTCAAGGGTAACTTGTACTCCATCCCGACAACATCACCATCCTCCATCCGAAATAATGTGGCCCTCATTGGTGATACTTGAGTTCCTGCTCATGTTTGGCATCGTCGATTGGGGCACCCATCTTCCCGCACTCTTACATCATTACGTGAGACTTTACATTTTTCAGATTTTCTGCAGGTTAATAAATTTTGTGAGTCTTGTCAATTGGCTAAGAGTCACAAGCTGCCTTTTACTAGATCGGATCGTTTATCTTCTTTACCATTGACTATTGTTCACTGTGATTTATGGGGACTTTCTCCAGTACCGTCTATTTCTGAATTTCGTTATTATATTCTTTTTGTAGACGATTACAGTCGCTTCTCTTGGGTGTATCCTCTTCAGGTTAAATCTGATGCATTGGCGTGTTTTCGCCACTTTAAAAATATGGCAGAAAATTTATTTTATGTTACTATCAAGTATTTTCAATGTGATGGTGCACTTGAGTTAACTCGTGGCACATTCAAGCAGNACAAGTTTTAGAAAAATAAAAAATGTGTTTGGTTTTTTTTTTGACTAAAGAAATATGTTTATTATACTTCTTTCGATCGGACAAAAAGACAGATTTTTTCTACACATTTTTTATTAATTATTTTTTGTCCTTTAATAAATGTGATTGTGTGAAGTGGTATGAACCTTTGGGCCCCTTTGTAATAAATTTTATTCTCTAGCTTATATTACATTATTGATTTTTAAATTTGGAGTCTTTTTTCATATGTGGCTGGCCTTGGTAGGATTAATAACCTTCACCTTGTAGCTGTTCTAATAATTAATTTGATTTTTGGTTCAACAAAGTTTAGGGTATTCGAATCAGTTTACGCACATCTCAAGTGTCTTCTCATCTCCTCCTCATATACAATATTTTTTACCACCAAAAATATAATGCAATGCGATTAAATAACTATGATAATCCTCTACACAACACAAATTCTCATTTTTTTTTTCTTTTTTTTTTTTTCTTTTGTTCTATTCGTTTTGTTGACATTGGATAGAGACACTCAAACTGACTCAAGGGAAGACCAGCTGCACATTGGCTTGCAAAAAATTGATAGTTATTTTAGAACACATAAACAAACCTTCCATAGCTTCATTGTTCATTGCTTCTTCTCATTGCTCTGAAAATACAGACAGTTAAGACAACCGGTAGGCAGAAGGCGAAGATGGCAAGCACACCCAAAGTTGGTATTGGACCATGGGGATTCAGATGCAACTTTTACTCTCTGATAGTTCTCCTTGTCGCAGCCTTAGTCATCGCTGCCATTTATCTAAACAAAGATAGCAGATGGTTGTTAGAAAATCGAACAATAGATGAGAACTCATCTCCAAGCTGCGATTTGTTTTCAGGCAAATGGGTCTATGATAACAAGTCTTACCCTCTGTACACAGAGCAACAATGTTCTTTCATGGTTGATGACTTCGCTTGCAAGAAGTTTGGGAGGAAAGATTTCAAATATCAGAACTGGAGATGGCAACCTCATGATTGTGATCTTCCAAGGTCTCTCTCCCTTCCTCACACACACAGACTCACACAAACACACACTCCTGCCATATGCCTGTTAGTAACGTTTATCTATTACAATGTTTTCTTGACTTTAGTACATTTTACAAGGTTCAATGCCACAGCATTGCTGGAAAAGCTAAGGGGTAAGAGGCTCGTATTCGTTGGGGATTCACTTAATAAGAATCAATGGATTTCACTGGTGTGCATGGTTGAGTCTTCGATTCCTTCATCCTCCAAATCCTTGATCTGGAAAGGCTCACTGATCACATTTACTGCCACGGTGAGTCAACTTCCTCTGGAAATCCAAAAGATAATTGATATAGTCTTTAGTACTCTATTAGCATTTATGTACATGATGCACCAGTGCTCTGCATCAACATTGGCTGCCCCATTTCTGTTCAACCTCAGGCGTTGGATTCTCCGTATTTCAATTTTGTCAACTTCAATCAAATTCAATCATTCACCGGAAAATTTATCATCTATAAGAACTCATTATTTAGTTCAATGAAACTATACGTTGATGATTATAAATTTATAGTTGACCGAATGCCCATCTTCTTCACATGAATTTCGGATTTTTACATTGGTTAGAGTCTTTAGAGATTGTTGGTTTTTTTGTTGAAACCTTATGTGATACAATTCTTGGTTCTTGCTATTAGATTTGAACTGAATTTGATTTGTATTTTGTTTTAATCCTAGTCTAGCTTGTTGTAATATAGCTTGAGCTTCCCCTTCAATGGCTAATTGTTTTGTATGTGCTGAAGGAATACAATGCCACCATTGATTTCTACTGGTCTCCATTGCTAGTGGAATCTAACTGTGATGATCCAGTAAACCATCGTGTGCGAGACCGAATTGTTAGAATCCAGGCAATCGAGAAGCATGCCAGGCACTGGACTGATGCAGATATACTCGTCTTTGATTCCTTCGTCTGGTGGCTCGAGAGCAAAATGACACTTCTGTAAGTACATCCTAAGAACCGTAGTAACAAGCAGTCAAACAAAAAAGTCTTAGCACCTGTCACATTGTAATGGGCAATCTAATTTTACACTTCTGATAATACCATTGATGAGCAGGTGGGGATCATTTAACAGCTCTGATGGAATTTACAAACACGTAGGGATGCTGCGTCGCTATGAGATGGCTCTAAAGACGTGGTCGGATTGGTTGGATATCCATGTCAACCGTACAAAGACACAATTGTTCTTCATGAGCCTCTCACCTTCCCACAAACTGTATGATACTAGTACTCTTGCTCATGTCTTAGTTTTGCTTAGTAAATCCACAAATCAAATCAAGCTGTCTTTTGAACAAATGATGAACGCAAATTAACGAGGCTATGAATTAAGTCCCGACATGTATAGGATTGGTACAAAAACTTGATGAAATGGATTACTATGAACATTGCAGGGGTGAAGATTGGGGCATGGCCACTGATCAAAATTGTTACAATGAAACCGAGCCAATTTCAGAGGAAGGGTATTGGGGAAGTATGACAGACGTTAGGATGATGCAAATAGCAGAGGCAGCGATACAAGAACTAAGAACAAGAGGTTTAAAAGTGCAAATCCTCAATATTACACAGCTTTCAGACTACAGGAAAGAAGCTCATCCTTCTATTTATAGGAGACAGTGGGTGCCTCTAACTGAAGAGCAATTATCAGACCCTCGGAGATATGCAGATTGTGTACATTGGTGCCTTCCTGGAGTGCCTGATGTTTGGAATGAGCTCCTTTATGCCTATTTTTTTAATTATTGATATCATCAAATCATTCAAGAATGTTTGTACAAAATTTTAAATGACAACTTATAGAAGCATATCTACACACATGCATTCATTAAGATAATTGATGGGTTTGACACTTTTAAACACGCCTTGCAAACCCAACATGGAATTGACAAGGTGGGTTAACATTTTGGGTTCAAGTTTGACTGATAAATGGATAGACCTGACATATCTATCAAATATATGGCCCAACATGAACTCGATTAATAATANTCTTGCAAACCCAACATGGAATTGACAAGGTGGGTTAACATTTTGGGTTCAAGTTCGACTGATAAACGGATAGACCTGACATATCTATCAAATATATGGCCCAACATGAACTCGATTAATAATAGAACTTAAATACGACACGTANTTTTACCACCAAAAATATAATGCAATGCGATTAAATAACTATGATAATCCTCTACACAACACAAATTCTCATTTTTTTTTTCTTTTTTTTTTTTTCTTTTGTTCTATTCGTTTTGTTGACATTGGATAGAGACACTCAAACTGACTCAAGGGAAGACCAGCTGCACATTGGCTTGCAAAAAATTGATAGTTATTTTAGAACACATAAACAAACCTTCCATAGCTTCATTGTTCATTGCTTCTTCTCATTGCTCTGAAAATACAGACAGTTAAGACAACCGGTAGGCAGAAGGCGAAGATGGCAAGCACACCCAAAGTTGGTATTGGACCATGGGGATTCAGATGCAACTTTTACTCTCTGATAGTTCTCCTTGTCGCAGCCTTAGTCATCGCTGCCATTTATCTAAACAAAGATAGCAGATGGTTGTTAGAAAATCGAACAATAGATGAGAACTCATCTCCAAGCTGCGATTTGTTTTCAGGCAAATGGGTCTATGATAACAAGTCTTACCCTCTGTACACAGAGCAACAATGTTCTTTCATGGTTGATGACTTCGCTTGCAAGAAGTTTGGGAGGAAAGATTTCAAATATCAGAACTGGAGATGGCAACCTCATGATTGTGATCTTCCAAGGTCTCTCTCCCTTCCTCACACACACAGACTCACACAAACACACACTCCTGCCATATGCCTGTTAGTAACGTTTATCTATTACAATGTTTTCTTGACTTTAGTACATTTTACAAGGTTCAATGCCACAGCATTGCTGGAAAAGCTAAGGGGTAAGAGGCTCGTATTCGTTGGGGATTCACTTAATAAGAATCNCAGTCTGGCTGATACCTCTATGTTTGTACTTCGGACAGTCCAAGGCACCCTCGTTCTTCTTTTGTATGTCGATGACATTATTTTGACTGGTGATCAACCCTCTATGATTACATCCTTTGTATCTCAACTTGCACTAGAATTTTCTATTAAAGATTTGGGCGATCTTCATTACTTCTTCAGCATCGAAGCTACTCGCACCAACTCAGGTCTCCACTTGACACAAAACAAGTACACACTTGATCTCTTACAAAGGGCAGGAATGATTGGCTGCAAACCATGCTCAACACCTTCTGCCATGGGTTCCAAAATGTCACCAACAGATGGAATCCCTCTCCCTGACCCTATTGAATATCGTCATCTTGTGGGTGCCCTACAATATCTCACTCTCACTCGCCCCGATATCTGTTATTCGGTGAACCAAGTTTGCCAATTTCTCCATTCACCAACTATNTGTCATCTTGTGGGTGCCCTACAATATCTCACTCTCACTCGCCCCGATATCTGTTAATCGGTGAACCAAGTTTGCCAATTTCTCCATTCACCAACTATTGAGCATTTACAAGCGGTTAAGCGTATTTTACGCTACCTCAAAGGCTCTCTTAATTCCGGCCTTGTCCTTCGTTCTAGCTCTTTATCATCACTCGCCGTCTTTTCTGATGCTAATTGGGCTGGTTATCCTACAACTCGACGATCGACCACTAGTTTTTGCATCTTCTTAGTCCCGAATCTTGTGTCTTGGGCCTCTAAGAAGCAACCCACTGTCTCTAGATCTAGCACTGAAGCAGAGTATAAAGCCTTAGCTGTTGCCACCTCCGAAATGTTATGGTTTTCCTATCTACTACAAGATCTTCATGCTTCACCATCCTTACCTATGGTTCTTCACTGTGATAATATGGGTGCTACACACATGACTTCAAATCGTGTTTTACATGCTCGCACAAAACACATTGAAGTCGACTACCATTTTGTTCGGGATCTTGTTGTCAAGGGTGCTCTTAAAGTACAATTTCTTCCGTCTACATCACAACCCGCTGATATTTTTACAAAAAACTTGCCGGCACAAACTTTTCTCAGGCATATTTCCAAACTATTGCCGGTTTTCGGCATTAGTTTGCGGGGGGAATGATAAGTGATAATGCAGTTAGGATAGGATTACACTTATTAACAGTTATCTTATATTTAAACTCATGTAGTTATCTTGTATAGGATTCTTATCTACTCACAAATACAATATAAATAAAACTNGCTTGCCGGCACAAACTTTTCTCAGGCATATTTCCAAACTATTGCCAGTTTCCGGCATTAGTTTGTGGGGGGAATGATAAGTGATAATGCAGTTAGGATAGGATTACACTTATTAACAGTTATCTTATATTTAAACTCATGTAGTTATCTTGTATAGGATTCTTATCTACTCACAAATACAACGGGCCATAGTCTGCACTCAAACCATTGAGAGTGTAGTGAACAAGATCGGAGTCCTTAACGGGTTTGTTAATTGCTGCAAGAGAGTCGGCTAGCGATTTGATGCGATGGAAATAGTCAGTAATGGTGTCACTGCCCTTGGAGATGCCCTGAAGATCTTTTACAAGATATGATTTGCGGGCAGTGCATTGTTGTTGATATAGTGCAGCAAGAGCATCCCAAGCGTCCTTTGCGGTTGTGAGGCCAAGTATTTGAGAACTCAAGGATTCAGTCAAGGTAGCATTGAGACAAGCCTTCACAAACTGATCAGATTTTCTCCAGATAGTGTACTCTGATGGAATCTACAAACACGTTGGGATGCTGCGTCACTATGAGATGGCTCTGTAGACATGGTCGGATTGGTTGAATATCCATGTCAACCTCACAAAGACACAATTGTTCTTCATGAGCCTCTCACCCTACCACAGACTGTATGATAACCAGTACTCCTTGCTTTGCTTAGTGAATCCACAAATCAAATCACGCGTCTTTTGAACAAATGATGAGCACAAATTAACGAGGCTATGAATTAAGTCCCCGACATATAAAGATTGGTATGAAAACTTGATGAACTGAATTACTATGAACATTGCAGGGGTAAAGATTGGGGCATGGCCGCTGATCAAAATTGCTACAACGAAACCAAGCCAATTTCAGAGGAAGGGTATTGGGGAAGTATGACAGACATCAGGATGATGCAAATAGCAGAGGCAGCAGTACAAGAACTAAGAACAAGAGGTTTAATAGTACAAATCCTCAATATTACACAGCTCTCAGGCTACAGGAAAGAAGCTCATCCTTCTATTTATAAGAAGCAGAGAGTGCCTCTAACTGAAAAGCAATTATCAGACCCTCGGAGCTATCCAGATTGTGTACATTGGTGCCTTCCAGGAGTGCCTGATGTTTGGATTGAGCTCCTCTACGCTTATCTTTTTAATTAGGGTTAATGTTCAATCAGCTCCCTTTGGTTTCAATTTGAACACATACCCCACTATGCTATTGATCATTACTAATAGATCAATAGCATCACAGCTCAAGTTTCGGGAATCATACTACTAATTTTTTTTTTCAAGAAAAAGATATGATTTTCATCGAGAGTCTCAAAGATGTTTGAAATTTTTTATAATGTCAAAGTTCATTTCCCCCACACAAAATCAATGGGAGAAGAGAGAAAACAACCAAACATAGATATTTCANTGATGTTATGATTTTCATCAAGAGTCTCAAAGATGTTTGAAATTTTTTCTAATGTCAAAGTTCATTTCCCCCACACAAAATCAATGGGAGAAGAGAGAAAACAACCAAACATAGATATTTCACCTTACCACAACACTGACACCACCAAAGAAGAAGAAAAGCAAAAAAAAAGAATAGTAATTCTCTTTCTCTCTCTCTCTCTCTCTCACACACACACACACACACACACTCATAGAGAGTCTTGAGGTTGTGGCTGTAACCTAGAGATTGTAAATTTGATTGAGATTGAGATTGAGATTGTGAAAGATGTTAATTGAACACATTTTGGCTGATTCGTATATGGCTCGGTCTGGTTGTGTAGCCTACGGTCAACATCCATTCATCTTAAAATATAGGATACCATTGTTTCCTTAAAATTAGGATGCAAGTCGGAGGGGTTAAAAAATTTATTCAAATCTAACTCGATTACTAAAACTTTCAATTCTAACCAAAACTCGAATTCGACTTCCAACCCAAGGTATTTAATTAGAGTATTACCCAAATGAATTTTGGACTCAACTCAAGGTTACTAATTTGGGCTCGTAATTCAAGTTCAATTTTGGGTATGATACAATAACTTGATCAATTTAAATTTAATAAAAATCTAAAATATATTTAAATTTTGAGTGTGTGTATATATATTTATTTATTTATTTTAATTTTGAATTGGATTCGGGTTGAATCCGTAAACCCAAAGTCTCAATTCAAATGTAGTCCAAATTCAATTCAGATTGAGATTTTTAATTCAAAAGCAATCCAATTTTTAAAAATTTTAATTCAAAACCTAATTTTTTTCGGTGAGTTTGAGTTAAGTTTGAATTAACTTGTCCAAACTTAACTCAAATGTTTATTTCCATTCTATTTCAAACCATTTTATTTTAATTCACAAGTTTTTCTTGGATGGGTAATTTTATTTTCCCTAGTCAATAAACAACCATTTCCAGTCATGATTCCTCGACTAAATAAATAAAAAAAGTCACGCTTTTCGATCTTTTGACCCAATCCCGTTTTTGTTGGATCATATCATCTGAATAGACTTAAAATATTCCTTAATTAATTAACTGCTAGCACTGCCAACAAACAAGATTTAGGAGTGGCTAAACAAAATTTGGGACCTCAAGTAATGACGATCAATGAGATTTTTTAAATTTTCTTAATAATAATTTAATTTTTAACTTAAAGTTTTTATTTTTTATTTTTTGATGAGATTTAAAATTGCCAATTATTTTTTATTCAAATTTTGTTAATATATTTTTTTGATTAATAATATGATTTTTTATCATAAATATTTATAGAAATAAAATTAATTTCTTCATTAATATTTTTATGTTCTTTTTATTTGTTTTATGTGTTCTTTATCAAAACTGTAGTATTAGATTATTGATTTTATTATAAATAAATTCATTGTTATCTTTGTTTTGGATTAGTTTTCTATCTTTGAATTTTATTTATTTATCTATGCAACTTTCACCTAAATTTTTGTTATTTTTTATTTGTTACGAATAAGAATTTTATCAAAATATTTTTTTAATGAGAATGAATGGTTTAATTGGTGTTTTACAATCAAATGAGGAAAAAAAAAACAAGTTTTAGAAAAATAAAAAATGTGTTTGGTTTTTTTTTTGACTAAAGAAATATGTTTATTATACTTCTTTCGATCGGACAAAAAGACAGATTTTTTCTACACATTTTTTATTAATTATTTTTTGTCCTTTAATAAATGTGATTGTGTGAAGTGGTATGAACCTTTGGGCCCCTTTGTAATAAATTTTATTCTCTAGCTTATATTACATTATTGATTTTTAAATTTGGAGTCTTTTTTCATATGTGGCTGGCCTTGGTAGGATTAATAACCTTCACCTTGTAGCTGTTCTAATAATTAATTTGATTTTTGGTTCAACAAAGTTTAGGGTATTCGAATCAGTTTACGCACATCTCAAGTGTCTTCTCATCTCCTCCTCATATACAATATTTTTTACCACCAAAAATATAATGCAATGCGATTAAATAACTATGATAATCCTCTACACAACACAAATTCTCATTTTTTTTTTCTTTTTTTTTTTTTCTTTTGTTCTATTCGTTTTGTTGACATTGGATAGAGACACTCAAACTGACTCAAGGGAAGACCAGCTGCACATTGGCTTGCAAAAAATTGATAGTTATTTTAGAACACAAAAACAAACCTTCCATAGCTTCATTGTTCATTGCTTCTTCTCATTGCTCTGAAAATACAGACAGTTAAGACAACCGGTAGGCAGAAGGCGAAGATGGCAAGCACACCCAAAGTTGGTATTGGACCATGGGGATTCAGATGCAACTTTTACTCTCTGATAGTTCTCCTTGTCGCAGCCTTAGTCATCGCTGCCATTTATCTAAACAAAGATAGCAGATGGTTGTTAGAAAATCGAACAATAGATGAGAACTCATCTCCAAGCTGCGATTTGTTTTCAGGCAAATGGGTCTATGATAACAAGTCTTACCCTCTGTACACAGAGCAACAATGTTCTTTCATGGTTGATGACTTCGCTTGCAAGAAGTTTGGGAGGAAAGATTTCAAATATCAGAACTGGAGATGGCAACCTCATGATTGTGATCTTCCAAGGTCTCTCTCCCTTCCTCACACACACAGACTCACACAAACACACACTCCTGCCATATGCCTGTTAGTAACGTTTATCTATTACAATGTTTTCTTGACTTTAGTACATTTTACAAGGTTCAATGCCACAGCATTGCTGGAAAAGCTAAGGGGTAAGAGGCTCGTATTCGTTGGGGATTCACTTAATAAGAATCAATGGATTTCACTGGTGTGCATGGTAGAGTCTTCAATTCCTTCATCCTCCAAATCCTTGATCTGGAAAGGCTCACTGATCACATTTACTGCCACGGTGAGTCAACTTCCTCTGGAAATCCAAAAGATAATTGATATAGTCTTTAGTACTCTATTAGCATTTATGTACATGATGCACCAGTGCTCTGCATCAACATTGGCTGCCCCATTTCTGTTCAACCTCAGGCGTTGGATTCTCCGTATTTCAATTTTGTCAACTTCAATCAAATTCAATCATTCACCGGAAAATTTATCATCTATAAGAACTCATTATTTAGTTCAATGAAACTATACGTTGATGATTATAAATTTATAGTTGACCGAATGCCCATCTTCTTCACATGAATTTCGGATTTTTACATTGGTTAGAGTCTTTAGAGATTGTTGGTTTTTTTGTTGAAACCTTATGTGATACAATTCTTGGTTCTTGCTATTAGATTTGAACTGAATTTGATTTGTATTTTGTTTTAATCCTAGTCTAGCTTGTTGTAATATAGCTTGAGCTTCCCCTTCAATGGCTAATTGTTTTGTATGTGCTGAAGGAATACAATGCCACCATTGATTTCTACTGGTCTCCATTGCTAGTGGAATCTAACTGTGATGATCCAGTAAACCATCGTGTGCGAGACCGAATTGTTAGAATCCAGGCAATCGAGAAGCATGCCAGGCACTGGACTGATGCAGATATACTCGTCTTTGATTCCTTCGTCTGGTGGCTCGAGAGCAAAATGACACTTCTGTAAGTACATCCTAAGAACCGTAGTAACAAGCAGTCAAACAAAAAAGTCTTAGCACCTGTCACATTGTAATGGGCAATCTAATTTTACACTTCTGATAATACCATTGATGAGCAGGTGGGGATCATTTAACAGCTCTGATGGAATTTACAAACACGTAGGGATGCTACGTCGCTATGAGATGGCTCTAAAGACGTGGTCGGATTGGTTGGATATCCATGTCAACCGTACAAAGACACAATTGTTCTTCATGAGCCTCTCACCTTCCCACAAACTGTATGATACTAGTACTCTTGCTCATGTCTTAGTTTTGCTTAGTAAATCCACAAATCAAATCAAGCTGTCTTTTGAACAAATGATGAACGCAAATTAACGAGGCTATGAATTAAGTCCCGACATGTATAGATTGGTACAAAAACTTGATGAAATGGATTACTATGAACATTGCAGGGGTGAAGATTGGGGCATGGCCACTGATCAAAATTGTTACAATGAAACCGAGCCAATTTCAGAGGAAGGGTATTGGGGAAGTATGACAGACGTTAGGATGATGCAAATAGCAGAGGCAGCGATACAAGAACTAAGAACAAGAGGTTTAAAAGTGCAAATCCTCAATATTACACAGCTTTCAGACTACAGGAAAGAAGCTCATCCTTCTATTTATAGGAGACAGTGGGTGCCTCTAACTGAAGAGCAATTATCAGACCCTCGGAGATATGCAGATTGTGTACATTGGTGCCTTCCTGGAGTGCCTGATGTTTGGAATGAGCTCCTTTATGCCTATTTTTTTAATTATTGATATCATCAAATCATTCAAGAATGTTTGTACAAAATTTTAAATGACAACTTATAGAAGCATATCTACACACATGCATTCATTAAGATAATTGATGGGTTTGACACTTTTAAACACGCCTTGCAAACCCAACATGGAATTGACAAGGTGGGTTAACATTTTGGGTTCAAGTTTGACTGATAAATGGATAGACCTGACATATCTATCAAATATATGGCCCAACATGAACTCGATTAATAATAGAACTTAAATACGACACGTACCTGACTATGCACCATGGTATGGATCGAGTTTGAGTTTAGCAACGACTTAAAAACAGGAGACTAAATGAACCATTGACAGCCCTATGTTTTGGAATCTTTAAACCAGAATCCTAAGGTGACTTTTCCACCAGCCCTTGTGTCATTTAGTGCTTTTAATACTCATAACCAAAAACCACCGAGTTTATACACATATATTATACACTAACTGATCAAAAACTGCACATGCGATGATTCCATCAATGTTTGATTCCAATGCACCATGTTGTTCTTGGACAGACCTACACATGATCAGCATTTGTAATAGTTAATCAAGTATTGACTGCCGTCAAAATGCATTGTTATTCTCCATTCTAAATGCAAGAAGCCATCACCGGAAATGCCTCCTGATCAGGTTATATTACTGCAACTTCATTCATTGCAATTGTTTGTAATTGTTAGTAGGGTAGTTTTCTTCCTTTTATAGTGGATTTGGTGCTGTTTTATTATTATTATCTTTTTTAATCTCGATATTTTTTACATAAATCTATAAAATACATCTTTATTTTCTCGTCTCCTATGATAAAATCCTATATTAGGAATATTGATTCCTCACATTATATTCAAGTCATAGAATCTCATTCTAACGCGTGGTAGTTAATAGATTAATGAAACAAAAAGTAAGATGAATCTATCATATCCGATTATGATATTAAGCCAATAATATGAGGTGGTTCAACAACTCAGGAACTTGGGTCCTAGTCTTATCTTAACAACAAAAGCAATATTGAAATTAAGGTTTTGCTTGAAACTCAATAACAGAAAATGTCAAAGAAAAACTTGTTAGAAATAGTTAGTAATGTAAGATATTCCATATTGAAAAATTGAAAAAGAGTGTAAAAGTTTAAAAGAAGAAATACATCAATTCTTATAAGTTTGAATGATAGGAAGATTTGGATGGAAGCCTCAAATATTTCAAATCAGTGTGACTTTATTGTGCTTTAAATAAAATAATATTTAAAGTCAAAAAATAGACACTTGGGCACTTGGGCTTAAAGTCTATAAACAATTAATAATTTGTATTAATTAAGCAGTTAATTAACTGCTACATGTCTCTTACCTCAAGAGTTGTGTCTCTTCTGTACATCTTTAAGGTATTATAAATACCTGAACAAATCCTTCAATAAAAATTTATACAAAATGTTTTTCTATTCTGTTCTTGGGAGAATTTTAGAATTTATTATCTAAAATTCTATTTAGTTTTGTTAATCATAGACGAATTTGCCACAAACCCAACAACAACATAATGGAGGCACAATTTTCTTAAGGAGAGTGAATATACGGTCAAAACCTTCTAATTTATTGTAGTTTTTGGTAACAAAAGTTACTTGCCAAAATTGCTTTCCAATATCAACAAAATTATGCTTATTAAATGTATACCAAATTCATCAGCCCAAATAATATGACACAATTAACGATGGTGTTAAAAACTAGATGTATGACTGGTGGAAAAGCTAAAGAGCTCTTCTTGAATGGACCATGTTAGCCTGCATATATACATATGTATAATGACTATAGTAAAAACACCAACTCAACTGAAAAGACGGTTAAGACGAAAAAGAGCAATGTTATTGGAATTTAATTTATTGACCTAATTCACTATAACCTTTAAATTGGCTATAGGTCCTATCAAATATTAGAACTTGATGTTAATTCAATGTTTTCAATGAAGTCACGTTATTAGATCATGTCAAATTTTTAGGTCTAAATAATATTATTCTTTTAAACACTGATGATGTGGCATTGGTGATTCCTTTCTGGACGAGACTTAGCCAAGTAAATCTCCTCTATGTCCTTCATTAGGCTTGCTAGGTCGTCCGAAGTGTTCTTATGGGTGTCTACCTGGCCTTGGCCTGGATGAACCCTTATGATGGATGGGTTGGGCTAACCTTTAGGTCATTTTTCCTTGGTTATTCTAGCGGGCCCAATATAGTACAAGTTGGGTTCAAATTGATTCTCACATGCATCAATTACCATCGTTAAATATTAATAAGACATACTTATGCAATGATAATAAATATATTACATAATTCGGAATGAAATTTTGGTATGAACATTTAGTAGGTGTTACGTTGTTATTCCAAAATATAACATAATGTACAACATCATTAAGTTATCATCGTATTTGTTTTTCTTGGATCACGTTTCACTAACTTGGTGTACCATAATTTGTACGTATCCTCTAATGGCATGGAATTAGATAAATATAAATTATAAATTCAAACGTTTTAAATTATATTTTTATGATGTTTCTTGAGTTTTAGTGATGGCTATATACTTATTTTAGATTTAATATGCAGTAATGGATCTAATGTGATCTATCATAGTTTTTTTCTTTTCACTTATAAAAGAGAAAATGACGAAAGAGGCCGCTAGCCTGGATGTTGATGACTAAAAAATCAAAAAACTTGGTACATCGTCAACTAAATTGTTGATGGGTCATTTGGATCGTACAAGAAAAGGAAATTTTATGTTATGATCGATACGTAGTACCAATGTTAATCTGCTTAACTTTCCATATCACCATTTGCATTCATCTCTCTTCCCCTCCACTCTCAAATCTCAATTATCTCTTGGTACCTCACTCCTTTGCTATAACACATGGATGTGCCGTGTGTCCCTCTGGTGCGATGCAAAGGTGGATCTATCTGAGTATTCTGCTAATAACTACGTTCAAACCCTCTAAATTTTACTATCAAATGGGTCGAATTGGGTGGTGATTGTTTGCCGTTGGTTGTTTTCGGAGGGTGGTTCCAATGAATTGTGGTGGAAAGATGTTTTTTTGATGATTAATCAAGTGAGGACCGTCGCAATGAAGCAGTTAATCCTTTCATTCTCAATTCAAGCAAGCATCAGCTGCAGATTTCTCCTTATCAGGTGAGTTTTCACCACACACATTTTGCAAATGCCAGCGAACGTGTTAGTTTGACAAAACTGGGTGAATACATGTTACTTCCAAGAATAACAAAGATTAGACAGAGCATGCAAACATAAACAATCCATTCAAAGAAGAGCATTAGGTTTCATGTCCTTGTTCTGATCTGTTCACATGATCTATGTAACTTAATTGATTCCTATGTTAAGAGTCACAGCATCAGTAGTTCAACTTTGCAGGTTTGACAATAAGGCACGCCAAATGTGGATTTGGAAATTTCAACCACTCCAACCTACTATGAAACAGGAGTGTATTACTTTAACACCTCAAGAATTACAAAAAAAAAAGAAATAAGGTATCGATGAGGTGGACAGCTTCTTTGGTCTTACTATGGACCGCAAGAAAGGGAAAATTTGATTGTGAAACTTTTGCTCAAGTTGTGAAAATAAGACCTTCCATCATTGAGGCATAGTTTACTGATTTGCTTCAAGATCCAATATGAGAACCAAAAGTTATAATTAAGTGACATCCAGCCAGCCTTCTGGTGCTTGTCATTACATTATATCTCTCCTTTTTATTTTTTTGTTTGCTATTTTTCCACCGGCTTGCCGTATATAGTTAGAGCAAGTCATGGTTTGGCACCTATGAGCTTGTAAGGACAGGATTCTCCTATTAAGTGCCCTAATTCATTTTTACCCGTTGCTTGCATTTTCATCTGATTTCTAGATTACACAGAGGATATGATTCTTAGAATGAACAATTATAAGCCACTTGATGATAATCCACCAATTAGACTGGCGAGTGATATTAGACTATATCCGATAACCCTCAATTGATAGAGGTTGAGGTCTCTCAGGAGTTCACAATAGAGGATTAATTTGGTAGGATTAATTTTTAAATTTGGCTTTGTAATGGATGGAATTCCAGAAGTAACATAGGCAAGTACCAACCTTTGCCTTGACTAACCATATTATTGTGGGAGAACCTGCTAATTGACTATCTGGTGTTACAGCTGTATGAAGTGTATTGTAATCCCTTCAGTATACTATGAAGGGATAAAGCAGTACAACTGCTCTTGATTCATCAATAGAGCAGAAAACACAAAAAGACAGAGGAAGGTAAATGGCAAAAGCAAATGCAACGGCACTTCTCCAAACATGTGGAGTTGTACCGATCTATCATTCCCTCATAGCACTTCTTTTGATGTTTGTAGTTGCTTCCATTTATCTAACAAGAGATAGCAGATGGCAGCAAGAAAAACAGAGAATGATTAACCCTCCGCCACGCTGCAATTTGTTTTCTGGAAAATGGGTATATGATAACAACTCTTACCCTCTATACAAGGAGAGTCAATGCCAGTTCATGTGGGATACTTTCGCTTGTGAGAAGTTCGGGAGAAAGGACTTGTCCTATCAGAATTGGAGATGGCAACCTCACCAGTGCGATCTCCCAATGTCTCTCTCTCTCTCTCTATCTCTCTCTCTCTCTCNAGATATGATTTTCATCGAGAGTCTCAAAGATGTTTGAAATTTTTTATAATGTCAAAGTTCATTTCCCCCACACAAAATCAATGGGAGAAGAGAGAAAACAACCAAACATAGATATTTCACCTTACCACAACACTGACACCACCAAAGAAGAAGAAAAGCAAAAAAAAAGAATAGTAATTCTCTTTCTCTCTCTCTCTCTCTCTCACACACACACACACACACACACTCATAGAGAGTCTTGAGGTTGTGGCTGTAACCTAGAGATTGTAAATTTGATTGAGATTGAGATTGAGATTGTGAAAGATGTTAATTGAACACATTTTGGCTGATTCGTATATGGCTCGGTCTGGTTGTGTANAGATTGTGAAAGATGTTAATTGAACACATTTTGGCTGATTCGTATATGGCTCGGTCTGGTTGTGTAGCCTACGGTCAACATCCATTCATCTTAAAATATAGGATACCATTGTTTCCTTAAAATTAGGATGCAAGTCGGAGGGGTTAAAAAATTTATTCAAATCTAACTCAATTACTAAAACTTTCAACTCTAACCAAAACTCGAATTCGACTTCCAACCCAAGGTATTTAATTAGAGTATTACCCAAATGAATTTTGGACTCAACTCAAGGTTACTAATTTGGGCTCGTAATTCAAGTTCAATTTTGGGTATGATACAATAACTTGATCAATTTAAATTTAATAAAAATCTAAAATATATTTAAATTTTGAGTGTGTGTATATATATTTATTTATTTATTTTAATTTTGAATTGGATTCGGGTTGAATCCGTAAACCCAAAGTCTCAATTCAAATGTGGTCCAAATTCAATTCAGATTGAGATTTTTAATTCAAAAGCAATCCAATTTTTAAAAATTTTAATTCAAAACCTAATTTTTTTCGGTGAGTTTGAGTTAAGTTTGAATTAACTTGTCCAAACTTAACTCAAATGTTTATTTCCATTCTATTTCAAACCATTTTATTTTAATTCACAAGTTTTTCTTGGATGGGTAATTTTATTTTCCCTAGTCAATAAACAACCATTTCCAGTCATGATTCCTCGACTAAATAAATAAATAAAGTCACGCTTTTCGATCTTTTGACCCAATCCCGTTTTTGTTGGATCATATCATCTGAATAGACTTAAAATATTCCTTAATTAATTAACTGCTAGCACTGCCAACAAACAAGATTTAGGAGTGGCTAAACAAAATTTGGGACCTCAAGTAATGACGATCAATGAGATTTTTTAAATTTTCTTAATAATAATTTAATTTTTAACTTAAAGTTTTTATTTTTTATTTTTTGATGAGATTTAAAATTGCCAATTATTTTTTATTCAAATTTTGTTAATATATTTTTTTGATTAATAATATGATTTTTTATCATAAATATTTATAGAAATAAAATTAATTTCTTCATTAATATTTTTATGTTCTTTTTATTTGTTTTATGTGTTCTTTATCAAAACTGTAGTATTAGATTATTGATTTTATTATAAATAAATTCATTGTTATCTTTGTTTTGGATTAGTTTTCTATCTTTGAATTTTATTTATTTATCAATGCAACTTTCACCTAAATTTTTGTTATTTTTTATTTGTTACGAATAAGAATTTTATCAAAATATTTTTTTAATGAGAATGAATGGTTTAATTGGTGTTTTACAATCAAATGAGGAAAAAAAAACAAGTTTTAGAAAAATAAAAAATGTGTTTGGTTTTTTTTTTTTTTACTAAAGAAATATGTTTATTATACTTCTTTCAATCGGAGAAAGAGATAGATTTTTCAACACATTTTTTATTAATTATTTTTTGTCCTTTAATAAATGTGATTGTGTGAAGTGGTATGAACCTTTGGGCCTTTGTAATAAATTTTATTCTCTAGGTTATATTACATTATTGATTTTTAAATTTGGAGTCTTTTTTCATATGTGGCTGGCCTTGGTAGGATTAATAACCTTCACCTTGTAGCTGTTCTAATAATTAATTTGATTTTTGGTTCAACAAAGTTTAGGGTATTCGAATCAGTTTACGCACATCTCAAGTGTCTTCTCATCTCCTCCTCATATACAATATTCTTTACCAACAAAAATATAATGCAATGCGATTAAATAACTATGATATTCCTCTACACAACACAAATTCTCATTTTTTTTTCTTTTTTTTTTTCTTTTGTTCTATTCGTTTCGTTGACATTGGATAGAGACACTCAAACTGACTCAAGGGAAGACCAGCTGCACATTGGCTTGCAAAAAATTGATAGTTATTTTAGAACACATAAACAAACCTTCCATAGCTTCATTGTTCATTGCTTCTTCTCATTGCTCTGAAAATACAGACAGTTAAGACAACCGGTAGGCAGAAGGCGAAGATGGCAAGCACACCCAAAGTTGGTATTGGACCATGGGGATTCAGATGCAACTTTTACTCTCTGATAGTTCTCCTTGTCGCAGCCTTAGTCATCGCTGCCATTTATCTAAACAAAGATAGCAGATGGTTGTTAGAAAATCGAACAATAGATGAGAACTCATCTCCAAGCTGCGATTTGTTTTCAGGCAAATGGGTCTATGATAACAAGTCTTACCCTCTGTACACAGAGCAACAATGTTCTTTCATGGTTGATGACTTCGCTTGCAAGAAGTTTGGGAGGAAAGATTTCAAATATCAGAACTGGAGATGGCAACCTCATGATTGTGATCTTCCAAGGTCTCTCTCCCTTCCTCACACACACAGACTCACACAAACACACACTCCTGCCATATGCCTGTTAGTAACGTTTATCTATTACAATGTTTTCTTGACTTTAGTACATTTTACAAGGTTCAATGCCACAGCATTGCTGGAAAAGCTAAGGGGTAAGAGGCTCGTATTCGTTGGGGATTCACTTAATAAGAATCAATGGATTTCACTGGTGTGCATGGTTGAGTCTTCGATTCCTTCATCCTCCAAATCCTTGATCTGGAAAGGCTCACTGATCACATTTACTGCCACGGTGAGTCAACTTCCTCTGGAAATCCAAAAGATAATTGATATAGTCTTTAGTACTCTATTAGCATTTATGTACATGATGCACCAGTGCTCTGCATCAACATTGGCTGCCCCATTTCTGTTCAACCTCAGGCGTTGGATTCTCCGTATTTCAATTTTGTCAACTTCAATCAAATTCAATCATTCACCGGAAAATTTATCATCTATAAGAACTCATTATTTAGTTCAATGAAACTATACGTTGATGATTATAAATTTATAGTTGACCGAATGCCCATCTTCTTCACATGAATTTCGGATTTTTACATTGGTTAGAGTCTTTAGAGATTGTTGGTTTTTTTGTTGAAACCTTATGTGATACAATTCTTGGTTCTTGCTATTAGATTTGAACTGAATTTGATTTGTATTTTGTTTTAATCCTAGTCTAGCTTGTTGTAATATAGCTTGAGCTTCCCCTTCAATGGCTAATTGTTTTGTATGTGCTGAAGGAATACAATGCCACCATTGATTTCTACTGGTCTCCATTGCTAGTGGAATCTAACTGTGATGATCCAGTAAACCATCGTGTGCGAGACCGAATTGTTAGAATCCAGGCAATCGAGAAGCATGCCAGGCACTGGACTGATGCAGATATACTCGTCTTTGATTCCTTCGTCTGGTGGCTCGAGAGCAAAATGACACTTCTGTAAGTACATCCTAAGAACCGTAGTAACAAGCAGTCAAACAAAAAAGTCTTAGCACCTGTCACATTGTAATGGGCAATCTAATTTTACACTTCTGATAATACCATTGATGAGCAGGTGGGGATCATTTAACAGCTCTGATGGAATTTACAAACACGTAGGGATGCTACGTCGCTATGAGATGGCTCTAAAGACGTGGTCGGATTGGTTGGATATCCATGTCAACCGTACAAAGACACAATTGTTCTTCATGAGCCTCTCACCTTCCCACAAACTGTATGATACTAGTACTCTTGCTCATGTCTTAGTTTTGCTTAGTAAATCCACAAATCAAATCAAGCTGTCTTTTGAACAAATGATGAACGCAAATTAACGAGGCTATGAATTAAGTCCCGACATGTATAGGATTGGTACAAAAACTTGATGAAATGGATTACTATGAACATTGCAGGGGTGAAGATTGGGGCATGGCCACTGATCAAAATTGTTACAATGAAACCGAGCCAATTTCAGAGGAAGGGTATTGGGGAAGTATGACAGACGTTAGGATGATGCAAATAGCAGAGGCAGCGATACAAGAACTAAGAACAAGAGGTTTAAAAGTGCAAATCCTCAATATTACACAGCTTTCAGACTACAGGAAAGAAGCTCATCCTTCTATTTATAGGAGACAGTGGGTGCCTCTAACTGAAGAGCAATTATCAGACCCTCGGAGATATGCAGATTGTGTACATTGGTGCCTTCCTGGAGTGCCTGATGTTTGGAATGAGCTCCTTTATGCCTATTTTTTTAATTATTGATATCATCAAATCATTCAAGAATGTTTGTACAAAATTTTAAATGACAACTTATAGAAGCATATCTACACACATGCATTCATTAAGATAATTGATGGGTTTGACACTTTTAAACACGCCTTGCAAACCCAACATGGAATTGACAAGGTGGGTTAACATTTTGGGTTCAAGTTTGACTGATAAATGGATAGACCTGACATATCTATCAAATATATGGCCCAACATGAACTCGATTAATAATAGAACTTAAATACGACACGTACCTGACTATGCACCATGGTATGGATCGAGTTTGAGTTTAGCAACGACTTAAAAACAGGAGACTAAATGAACCATTGACAGCCCTATGTTTTGGAATCTTTAAACCAGAATCCTAAGGTGACTTTTCCACCAGCCCTTGTGTCATTTAGTGCTTTTAATACTCATAACCAAAAACCACCGAGTTTATACACATATATTATACACTAACTGATCAAAAACTGCACATGCGATGATTCCATCAATGTTTGATTCCAATGCACCATGTTGTTCTTGGACAGACCTACACATGATCAGCATTTGTAATAGTTAATCAAGTATTGACTGCCGTCAAAATGCATTGTTATTCTCCATTCTAAATGCAAGAAGCCATCACCGGAAATGCCTCCTGATCAGGTTATATTACTGCAACTTCATTCATTGCAATTGTTTGTAATTGTTAGTAGGGTAGTTTTCTTCCTTTTATAGTGGATTTGGTGCTGTTTTATTATTATTATCTTTTTTAATCTCGATATTTTTTACATAAATCTATAAAATACATCTTTATTTTCTCGTCTCCTATGATAAAATCCTATATTAGGAATATTGATTCCTCACATCATATTCAAGTCATAGAATCTCATTCTAACGCGTGGTAGTTAATAGATTAATGAAACAAAAAGTAAGATGAATCTATCATATCCGATTATGATATTAAGCCAATAATATGAGGTGGTTCAACAACTCAGGAACTTGGGTCCTAGTCTTATCTTAACAACAAAAGCAATATTGAAATTAAGGTTTTGCTTGAAACTCAATAACAGAAAATGTCAAAGAAAAACTTGTTAGAAATAGTTAGTAATGTAAGATATTCCATATTGAAAAATTGAAAAAGAGTGTAAAAGTTTAAAAGAAGAAATACATCAATTCTTATAAGTTTGAATGATAGGAAGATTTGGATGGAAGCCTCAAATATTTCAAATCAGTGTGACTTTATTGTGCTTTAAATAAAATAATATTTAAAGTCAAAAAATAGACACTTGGGCACTTGGGCTTAAAGTCTATAAACAATTAATAATTTGTATTAATTAAGCAGTTAATTAACTGCTACATGTCTCTTACCTCAAGAGTTGTGTCTCTTCTGTACATCTTTAAGGTATTATAAATACCTGAACAAATCCTTCAATAAAAATTTATACAAAATGTTTTTCTATTCTGTTCTTGGGAGAATTTTAGAATTTATTATCTAAAATTCTATTTAGTTTTGTTAATCATAGACGAATTTGCCACAAACCCAACAACAACATAATGGAGGCACAATTTTCTTAAGGAGAGTGAATATACGGTCAAAACCTTCTAATTTATTGTAGTTTTTGGTAACAAAACTTACTTGCCAAAATTGCTTTCCAATATCAACAAAATTATGCTTATTAAATGTATACCAAATTCATCAGCCCAAATAATATGACACAATTAACGATGGTGTTAAAAACTAGATGTATGACTGGTGGAAAAGCTAAAGAGCTCTTCTTGAATGGACCATGTTAGCCTGCATATATACATATGTATAATGACTATAGTAAAAACACCAACTCAACTGAAAAGACGGTTAAGACGAAAAAGAGCAATGTTATTGGAATTTAATTTATTGACCTAATTCACTATAACCTTTAAATTGGCTATAGGTCCTATCAAATATTAGAACTTGATGTTAATTCAATGTTTTCAATGAAGTCACGTTATTAGATCATGTCAAATTTTTAGGTCTAAATAATATTATTCTTTTAAACACTGATGATGTGGCATTGGTGATTCCTTTCTGGACGAGACTTAGCCAAGTAAATCTCCTCTATGTCCTTCATTAGGCTTGCTAGGTCGTCCGAAGTGTTCTTATGGGTGTCTACCTGGCCTTGGCCTGGATGAACCCTTATGATGGATGGGTTGGGCTAACCTTTAGGTCATTTTTCCTTGGTTATTCTAGCGGGCCCAATATAGTACAAGTTGGGTTCAAATTGATTCTCACATGCATCAATTACCATCGTTAAATATTAATAAGACATACTTATGCAATGATAATAAATATATTACATAATTCGGAATGAAATTTTGGTATGAACATTTAGTAGGTGTTACGTTGTTATTCCAAAATATAACATAATGTACAACATCATTAAGTTATCATCGTATTTGTTTTTCTTGGATCACGTTTCACTAACTTGGTGTACCATAATTTGTACGTATCCTCTAATGGCATGGAATTAGATAAATATAAATTATAAATTCAAACGTTTTAAATTATATTTTTATGATGTTTCTTGAGTTTTAGTGATGGCTATATACTTATTTTAGATTTAATATGCAGTAATGGATCTAATGTGATCTATCATAGTTTTTTTCTTTTCACTTATAAAAGAGAAAATGACGAAAGAGGCCGCTAGCCTGGATGTTGATGACTAAAAAATCAAAAAACTTGGTACATCGTCAACTAAATTGTTGATGGGTCATTTGGATCGTACAAGAAAAGGAAATTTTATGTTATGATCGATACGTAGTACCAATGTTAATCTGCTTAACTTTCCATATCACCATTTGCATTCATCTCTCTTCCCCTCCACTCTCAAATCTCAATTATCTCTTGGTACCTCACTCCTTTGCTATAACACATGGATGTGCCGTGTGTCCCTCTGGTGCGATGCAAAGGTGGATCTATCTGAGTATTCTGCTAATAACTACGTTCAAACCCTCTAAATTTTACTATCAAATGGGTCGAATTGGGTGGTGATTGTTTGCCGTTGGTTGTTTTCGGAGGGTGGTTCCAATGAATTGTGGTGGAAAGATGTTTTTTTGATGATTAATCAAGTGAGGACCGTCGCAATGAAGCAGTTAATCCTTTCATTCTCAATTCAAGCAAGCATCAGCTGCAGATTTCTCCTTATCAGGTGAGTTTTCACCACACACATTTTGCAAATGCCAGCGAACGTGTTAGTTTGACAAAACTGGGTGAATACATGTTACTTCCAAGAATAACAAAGATTAGACAGAGCATGCAAACATAAACAATCCATTCAAAGAAGAGCATTAGGTTTCATGTCCTTGTTCTGATCTGTTCACATGATCTATGTAACTTAATTGATTCCTATGTTAAGAGTCACAGCATCAGTAGTTCAACTTTGCAGGTTTGACAATAAGGCACGCCAAATGTGGATTTGGAAATTTCAACCACTCCAACCTACTATGAAACAGGAGTGTATTACTTTAACACCTCAAGAATTACAAAAAAAAAAGAAATAAGGTATCGATGAGGTGGACAGCTTCTTTGGTCTTACTATGGACCGCAAGAAAGGGAAAATTTGATTGTGAAACTTTTGCTCAAGTTGTGAAAATAAGACCTTCCATCATTGAGGCATAGTTTACTGATTTGCTTCAAGATCCAATATGAGAACCAAAAGTTATAATTAAGTGACATCCAGCCAGCCTTCTGGTGCTTGTCATTACATTATATCTCTCCTTTTTATTTTTTTGTTTGCTATTTTTCCACCGGCTTGCCGTATATAGTTAGAGCAAGTCATGGTTTGGCACCTATGAGCTTGTAAGGACAGGATTCTCCTATTAAGTGCCCTAATTCATTTTTACCCGTTGCTTGCATTTTCATCTGATTTCTAGATTACACAGAGGATATGATTCTTAGAATGAACAATTATAAGCCACTTGATGATAATCCACCAATTAGACTGGCGAGTGATATTAGACTATATCCGATAACCCTCAATTGATAGAGGTTGAGGTCTCTCAGGAGTTCACAATAGAGGATTAATTTGGTAGGATTAATTTTTAAATTTGGCTTTGTAATGGATGGAATTCCAGAAGTAACATAGGCAAGTACCAACCTTTGCCTTGACTAACCATATTATTGTGGGAGAACCTGCTAATTGACTATCTGGTGTTACAGCTGTATGAAGTGTATTGTAATCCCTTCAGTATACTATGAAGGGATAAAGCAGTACAACTGCTCTTGATTCATCAATAGAGCAGAAAACACAAAAAGACAGAGGAAGGTAAATGGCAAAAGCAAATGCAACGGCACTTCTCCAAACATGTGGAGTTGTACCGATCTATCATTCCCTCATAGCACTTCTTTTGATGTTTGTAGTTGCTTCCATTTATCTAACAAGAGATAGCAGATGGCAGCAAGAAAAACAGAGAATGATTAACCCTCCGCCACGCTGCAATTTGTTTTCTGGAAAATGGGTATATGATAACAACTCTTACCCTCTATACAAGGAGAGTCAATGCCAGTTCATGTGGGATACTTTCGCTTGTGAGAAGTTCGGGAGAAAGGACTTGTCCTATCAGAATTGGAGATGGCAACCTCACCAGTGCGATCTCCCAATGTCTCTCTCTCTCTCTCTATCTCTCTCTCTCTCTCCCTCTCTCGTGTCTTTTCTCTTTATATTCTGAATGTTTTGTTGAATCTTTCTGAAATGTTCTCTTACTGACCAGGTTCAATGCCACAAAAATGCTGGAGCATCTAAGGGGTAAAAGGCTTGTTTTTGTTGGAGATTCATTGAATAGGGACCAATGGGTTTCAATGGTCTGCCTGGTCGAGTCTCCAATTCCTCCAACACTCAAATCCATGCACATTAATGGCTCCTTCATGACTTTCAAGGCCACTGTAAGTCCAGATTTTTATATTCTGCTCATGAAAATTAAGAGTATACATGCTTAGATGCAGCCTCATGCTGCAATATTTGGGTAGTTTCACTTCATGTATATGTTCTGGAAGCTCAGTTTCAAATTGTAGGTTTGTCTATTGTAAAACCCTTCAAACCACTGAGGTACTTTGATATGAGGTTAACAGCTTAGGCTATAGTACTATAGCCATTATTGTGTCTGTCAATACCAAAAAATATTTCACATTAATCTGCCCGAGTGTTTTGGTGCACAAGAAAGGAACATGTCCACCTCAAGTACAGAATTTGGTTGTTTTGGCAGTAGTAATAGCTTGTATTGGGTGTTAAACTTTAGCAAAAGGGTTATGCTCTAAGATTTGGGTAAGGTTTCCTCATGAATCTGGCCAACAAACTTGGGTTGCCCTAGATTTCACACTATCACTATGTATAGGTGTTTTCTGTCACCCTGCATGCTCTGTATCATGGATTTAACTTCCTCTGCAGTGGCTAACTTTTGTTAATGGATACAGGAATACAACACCACGATTGATTTCTATTGGGCTCCATTCCTAGTGGAATCTAATTATGATAGAGCGGCAGGCCCTGTCCATGGAATATCAGAGCAAATTGTCAGGGTCCAGGCAATTGAAAAGCATGCTAGGCATTGGACCGATGCAGATATACTTGTCTTTGATTCCTATGCTTGGTGGAGAAGACCCAAATACAAAATTTTGTGAGTGCATTCCTTGATTCAGATCCTTAGCATATTGATTGAACTAGAATGTTGGAGAAGTAATAAAGTTTGTAATGTGACCATTTGTTTTTAAATGATTAATACTCAGGTGGGGATCATTTGAAAAACCTGATGACGGGATCTACAAAGAAGTAGACGCACTACGAAGCTATGAGATGTCTCTGAAAACATGGTCAGACTGGTTGGATATTCATGTGGACCGCAACAAGACTCGGCTGTTTTTCATGAGCATGTCGCCAACACATGAATGGTATGTTTAGTGATACCCACGGCTTTAGTTATTCTGGATGAGCATATCACTGCATCAAATGATGCAATTTGAGGGCAAATAAAAGTCAAACCAACAACTTCTATTGCAATATTAATATTGACTAGTTGTAAATGACAACGCCTGGTCATTACAGGGGCGAAGAATGGGGCATGGCAAAGGGTGAAACTTGCTACAACGAAACAAATCCAATCTCAAAAGAGGGATATTGGGGAAGGGGATCAGATATAAGAATGATGCAGAAAGTTGGGGCAGCAATTGAAGAGTTGAAAATTAGAGGTTTGAAAGTACAATTTCTTAATATAACACAGCTGTCGGAGTACAGAAAAGAATCTCACCCATCTATCTACAGAAAGCAATGGAAACCCCTAACTGAAGAGCAATTATCAGACCCCCGACGTTATGCTGATTGTAAACATTGGTGTCTTCCAGGAGTGCCTGACGTCTGGAATGAGATCCTCTATGCCTACATTTTTGGTTACGAATAAGCTCGAAACACAAGTGTACATATGATTTTTGTAAGCTTGTAAAATTACTGTTTTCTCATAAAATTATTTCTTGTCTGCATGTCAACTGATTGGGTTCAACCTGAATGAACTTGGAACAGGTCGACAAAAATTCCACCAAGTATGGTACGAATTTGATTAAATTTGAACTAACTATGTATAAATGGTCTAGATATAAAAGCAACTCCAAGGGACTCTTTAAAAGTCTTATCTTAGCTATTTTGAAGAACTAGCTCCTAAAATTTCTCTCCAGCAAGCTCTCTATCTCATTAGTTATTTTATCTCATCCCCTTTTCACTCGCTTGGTATTTTGCTCTTTTGCGCCAATTTCCTCTTCGTCTTNCGTTTATAAATGGTCTAGATATAAAAGCAACTCCAAGGGACTCTTTAAAAGTCTTATCTTAGCTATTTTGAAGAACTAGCTCCTAAAATTTCTCTCCAGCAAGCTCTCTATCTCATTAGTTATTTTATCTCATCCCCTTTTCACTCGCTTGGTATTTTGCTCTTTTGCGCCAATTTCCTCTTCGTCTTTGTGCTTTGGCAATGACTTCATCATCTTCAGAGGCTTCATTATTCGTTGTGGCTTCATTGTCTTCTTCCAAGGCTTCATCACCCAAGTATGGAGCTCTCTCTCTGTGTATGTAGACCATCCTATCCCTCTCTCTATGTATGTAGACCACCCAATCCCTGAAATCCCATTGCTCTTTCTCTCGGCTCCTCTTGTNAAAGCACTCTCTCCAGAACTCGCCAAACAAAAGACAAAGGGTATGGCCCTGGGGACAGAGTTCTAGGACTCTCGTCCCCGAAGTACATACAGGAGCAAGCCTCNTGACTTCATCATCTTCAGAGGCTTCATTATTCGTTGTGGCTTCATTGTCTTCTTCCAAGGCTTCATCACCCAAGTATGGAGCTCTCTCTCTGTGTATGTAGACCATCCTATCCCTCTCTCTATGTATGTAGACCACCCAATCCCTGAAATCCCATTGCTCTTTCTCTCGGCTCCTCTTGTCTCATTGTGTGTGTGTATATATATATAGACCACCGAATCCCCACTGAAACCCCATCTCTCTCTCTCTTCTCTTTTCTGTCTCACTCTCTTTATCTCACGCAACCCAAATCGAAACCCCAAATCCCTCTCTGTGCACACACCCACCCAGCATCCCCCACTCAAAGCCCTCTCTATGAACACACCCACACGGCATCCCCACCCCAAATCCGTCTCTATGCACACACTCACACCCACACCCACGCATAAGATTTTGTCTTGATTATCTGAAGTTAGACCAAGAGTATGTTGTAAATTTTTGCAACAAGGAGGACAATGAATGCTATTGTGGACCAATTGTTTTAATTACTAATAGTTAGTTGAAGTTAATTGAAGTAATTAGTTAAAATAGAGAGTGTTGTTAGAGTAGCATAAGTGACTCTTTAAAATAGAGTGTAATATAAAAGCATATTTTGACTAGCTATTTTGATTAGCATCCTTAGTGTTACTCTAAGTTTGTTGAATCAGTCCACACAAAGGAAACTGCTTCCCCAGAATATGAGGAAGACCAAGTCTTCAGCTGAGAAGATAAGATCCTNATAGCATAAGTGACTCTTTAAAATAGAGCGTAATATAAAAGCATATTCTGACTAGCTATTTTGATTAGCATCCTTAGTGTTACTCTAAGTTTGTTGAATCAGTCCACACAAAGGAAACTGCTTCCCCAGAATATGAGGAAGACCAAGTCTTCAGCTGAGAAGATAAGATCCTAGGAATTTGAATTTAGTCCAACTATAGTTGCACATTTGTAGAATTTGTAACATCTCTCTTCTATAAATAAAAAGGCTTGTACATTGGATCAATTAAAGAAAGAAACACTATTTCTAAACCTCTATCTAAATTTCTATATGGTATCAGANGAAGATAAGATCCTAGGAATTTGAATTTAGTTCAACTATAGTTGCACATTTGTAGAATTTTGTAACATCTCTCTTTCTATAAATAAAAAGGCTTGTACATTGGATCAATTAAAGAAAGAAACACTATTTCTAAACCTCTATCTAAATTTCTATATGGTATCAGAGCTTCTGTGACATACGTCATAAAATATGTCTTCTCTAGTCTCCTCTACCATATCCGAAACCACGACCGCCCAGCTACTCACCTTCAACCCCAATTCCACAGTCAATATTACCAAACTTACCAGTATTAATTTTCCAATTTGGAAAGCACAGAAGTTTCCCTACCTCAAGGGCCAAAATGTTTTTGGCTATATTGATGGCNATAAAATATGTCTTCTCTAGTCTCCTCTACCGTATCCGAAACCACAACCTCCCAGCTACCCACCTTCAACCCCAATTCCACAGTCAATATTACCAAACTTACCCGTATTAATTTTCCAATTTGGAAAGCACAGAAGTTTCCCTACCTCAAGGGCCAAAATGTTTTTGGCTATATTGATGGCAATCTAAAAATACCCCCTATAGAGATTTCATCTTCGGATGACCCTAATGTCAAAGTCCTCAATCCCAATTATGCAATCTGGGATAGAAAGGATAATCTCATCTTGAGTGCTATTAACTCTTCTCTGATAGATGAAGTTCTTGCACAGGTCTACCATTGCACCTCCTCTCATGACATTTGGTTTGCACTAGAGAAGTGCTTTGCTGCTCAGCACGAGTTGTCCAGATTCAATCTCAACTCGCATCTGCACGCAAAGGATGTCAACCTGCCACAGATTTCATGGGCATCAAGAAGCTCACTGATGAGTTAGCAATTGCAAGACAAGCCATGCACAATGATGACATCCTCACCCATGTTCTTGCTGGACTTGGACAAGAATATGACTCACTGGTGGCTACACTTTCCGTTGGCAAAGATGTCACCTTAGAGGAAGTTTTTTCTTTTACTTACTTGTGAAGCTCGCATACAACACAACAATCAACCTCATCAGCTCAACAATGCCAGTTGACAATCCAATAATTTTCGTGGACATGCCCGCGAAAAATTCTTCCAATTCCAGAGGCAGGGGGCGCAATTTTTACAACAATGGTCGTGGTGGTGGCTCTAGTCGAAGCAATAATTCCAATTCTGATCGTGGTAACAATGGCAATACCCTGTGGTGCCAACTCTGTGAGAAATCTGGTCACACAGTACACAAGTGCTATCATCTTTTTGACATTACACAGTACACAAGTACACAATCTGGTCACCCAGTACACAATCTGGTCACCAAGCACTGGTTGCCTTCAACCCACAAGCAGCGGATGCAAAATGGCATCTGGACACAGAAGCAACACATCATATGACCTCCGACTTCAATCAACTCAATCTGCGTAGCGATGAGTACAATGGATCAAACCAAATACAAGTGGGGAACGGTGCAAGTTTGAATATTTCTCACTATGGTAGTACCAAACTTATAACCCCTTCACGTTCATATATTCTTAATCAGGTTCTTGTCGTACCTGAAATAAAAAAATTTTGCTTTTCGTAATTAAATTTGCCAAAGATAACCATGTTTATTTTGAATTTCACGATTCCTTTTTTGTGATAAAGGACTACTCGGGGAGCTTCCTGCATAAAGGTTATCTGAACGATGACCTTTATTGCTTTTCTTAACCCTTGCAAAAATCAGCTTCAGCTATTGTTGGCGTTAAGCTTTTATGTCAAATTGGCATCGCCGTTTAGGTCATGTTGCGTTTCCAGTGGTGCAACGTGTTCTAGCTGCAAATAAATTTTCAATTGTGGACAATAAAAGACCAGTAGTGTGTTCTAAATGTCAAATGGCCAAAAGCTATAATTTGCCTTTTCATGTTTCCAATTTCACGTCCCCAAAACCTCTTGATTTAATATTCTCAAATGTATAGGACCAGCACCTGTGCTTTCTACTTGTGGATCCAGATATTATGTAAGTTTCGTTGATGATCATACCAAATTTATTATGTGTTTGAGTGTGCATGTTGGCCAAATCTTAGATTATTCAACAAACATAAAATTGATTTTAGATCAAAAACTTGCATTTTTCTTGGCTACAACATTTGCTATCAGGGATACAAATGTCTAGACATCACAACTGGGAAAGTATTTGTCTCTAGGCACGTTGTTTTCAATGAGACCTTTTTCCCTTACAATTCTAAAAACCAAGAAAATCCCTCTCCGGCAACACCCACTGTAACCTTACCCATAAACATCCAACCTCCTTCTGTCTCTTCGATTTCTGCTACTAACTGATGGGACTCTTCTGAAAAGCCCTAAGATGATGACACGTGTCCTCGGGATATNACTGTCATCATTGGGCGGGAAAACCAAAAAAACAGCGCATTTAATGCGCACGACATCCCAAGACGGGGAAAGCTGCTCGAGGCCATAATGAAGGACGGATGGCAGTTGGAAAACCCTTCGTCTCCTTACAACGCGTGTCCTCGGTGTCAGAAGATCGAAGGCTGGGGGGCAGTTGATGGGACTCTTCTGA